TTCTCAGAACTGAAAGGATACCATAGCTGTGGTTTCAGGGGATTAATGAGAGTCTGCATGCCTGTATAAACACATACATTTTCTGGCATTGTTAATCATTTATGCTAATTACTGTTTGCATGTTTGTGCACAGTATGGGTTTATATCCACATGTGGGGTGTTGTGTTACCTAGCGTTTATGTGTGTTGCATTGTGCAGCATTGCATCAGGCTGCTTTACAGTTTCTCTGTCCAGTGTGGAAGTACAAAACGAGTGTCACTGCCTGACTATAGATAGTACAGCAGAACGAGAAATATGAGGACAAAGATAGCTTAGTGGAGATTTAAAGTTGACAGTGTCAGGGAAAAAATGCAAGAGTTGGGATAATAACTATGTACATCATATATTTCATTACTGTGTTTGTGTGGAAAATTGGTTGTCTGACTTATAATACATTAGAATTTGTGCATCTATGTGTGAAGGCATGATTTCTTAAAGCCTTTAAAGCATGTATGCATCTACTGTATCTGTGAGTGTGTGCTAGTGGGCTTGCACGCCTGTGTGTACATGCTGAGAGGCAGGCCTGTGGTTAGGCTACATCTGCCTGCAGCGCAGGAGAACAGAGTCTTGTTGCGTCATACTGAGTCTGTTAATAACAGGCTAAACCACAAAGGCCATCCGCTGTTCTATTTCTCACCTTGCAGCAGCACAGTGATTATGCAGGAGTGATGCATTAATAGTGATATATTATTGTAGCAGGGATATGTTGTCTATCTTTGACAAATGTAAACTCGATATCGAGTGAAAGTTGACTACAGATTAGTGGCCCTTCACTGAAAAATGTACATGCTTCAGGACACATGTTGTACAAGCAGTTTGAGGGTTGACAGTATGACTGTATAAGTTAGACACCTCCAACTCCATCCTCCCAACTCTCACAGCATGCAACATCCTTGCCGCAAGAATTTAATTGCTCTGTAAACAAGCCTTTTGTTTTGCTGCACAGTGTTTGCTCATGCACACAAGATGTATTAAAAGCTTCGGTCCTGCTGTGAAAAGAGAAGAATGTCATATCAGAGCACAACAAATGACAACCCAGAGTTGAGTCCAGGATGCAGGGTCGCAGTCTTACATGCCTCTCTGCTGTCTCCTTGCAGCTGCTACCCACCCAATGCTCCCAGTACCCCATAGAGACTGTGTCTGCCCCCCGCCCACCTAAATTATATAAATCAAGAATCAACTCCAGAGGAGTTATTCATAAGAACCTAATTAAAATTAAGATGACTCCTCTTATAGTAGAAAGTAATAGGACAATCAAATGTGGACTATTAAATATCAGATCTCTCTCATCTAAATCTCTGTTAGTGAATGATTTGATAAGTGAACATCACATTGACTTATTGTGTCTTACTGAAACATGGTTACAGCAGCAAGAATATGTCAGCCTAAATGAATCCACTCCACCTAGTCACAGTAACTGTCACATCCCTCGAAACACAGGCCGGGGTGGTGGCGTAGCAGCGATCTTTGACTCAAGCCTATTAATCAACCCTAGACCTAAACATAGCTATAAACTCATTTGAAAGTCTCACCCTGAGTCTCTCACACCCAAACTGGAAAACTCAAAAGCCTGTTCTGTTTGTGATTGTATACCGTCTACCTGCTCCTTATTCAGAGTTTTTAAGTGAATTCTCAGACTTTCTGTCTGATTTAGTACTTAGTACAGATAAAATAATCATAGTAGGCGACTTTAATATTCATGTAGATGCCGACAATGACAGCCTCAACAATGCATTCTGTTCATTATTAGACTCAGTTGGCTTCTCTCAAACTAAATAAACCCACTCACTGTTTTAATCACACTCTTGATCTTGTTCTGACATATGGCATCGAAACTGAACACTTAATAGTTTTTCCCCATAACCCTCTTCTGTCTGACCATTTTCTAATAACTTTTGAATTTCCATTAATGGATTATACTCTATGTGGGAAACAATTCCACTACAGCAGATGTCTATCTGGCAATGCTGTTACCAAGTTTAAGGAAATAATTCCATCTTTATCTACTTCAGTGCCGTTTGCCAACACAGTGGAAGGAGGCCACCTTAACCTTACTCCCACACAAATCGATAATCTTGTTGATAGTACTGCAGCCTTCCTGCGTAATACACTTGATACCATTGCCCCTCTGAAAAAGAAGGTAGTGAAACAGAGGAGGCTAGCCCCATGGTACAGCTCGCAGCTCCGCTCCCTAAAGCAGGCATCACGAAAAATGGAAAGGAGGTGGCGCTCCACTAAGTCAGAAGAGTTTTCTATAGCCTGGAAAGATAGTTTAATAACATATAAGAAAGCCCTTCATAGTGCCAGAACCACATTTTATTCATCACTGATTGAGGAAAATAAGAACAACCCCAGGTTTCTTTTCAGCACTGTAGCCAGGCTGACAAAGAGCCACAGTGCTGTTGAGCTTAACATTCCCTTAGATCTCAGCAGCAATGACTTCATGAGCTTCTTTACAAATAAAATCACAACTATTAGAGAAAAAATTGGTCGGACCACTCCCACAGCTCTCGCAGATGTGCCATCTACTACAATGGCTTTAGAAACATCAGT